CAAACATTCAGGCAATGAAAAAATAAAAAAATAAAAATAAACAGATAAAAATAAATTAGAAAAAGACTTTGTTCCCTTTACATGTGTCATTAAAAGATGTAGGCACCAAAAAACAGTTTATTTGGAGTACATTTCTCCAAGAAATGCACAAGAAGTTCAAAGTATTGTAGAGATTTTTTTTTTCTTCCTCACCACCTGAATCCAAGGATTCTCTGCATTTTACAAGAAGAGGAGAAAAGGCCCCTCATCAAACGCCTATAAATGAGTTCTAAATGTTAGAATACCCAACGGCTTGGTGCTGGCTTTCAGCTGTCTACTTGCTCTTCCTCTAAATGCCTGGTTTTAATTGCCACATACATCCCGAAGCCTTCCAGTTTGCTGTTCCCAGGTCTGATGTATGTGGATTTCAGTTACACTGGCCTTCCTTTTGTTTTTCAAGCACATCAAGCTCTTTCCTGACTCAGAGTTTTTGCGTTTGCTGTTCCCTCTTCCAGGAAGGCTGTCTCCTCATCCTTCAGCACTCTCTTCAAATGTCACCTCCTCAGTAAAAGAAAAGCCTTCCCTGATCACCCCCTCTAAAGTAGTCCTCTCTTTCCCCCTGCTGTGCATTGCTCCCATCGATAACTCTACAAGACACTGTTCTATTTCTCCCATAACGTTTTACCATAACAGAATATTATCTGATTTATTCGTTTGCTGATAGTCACTGTCCCCCACTAGAATATAGGTCCTTTGAGGGCAGGAACTTTTTCAGACTTCTTCACTGCTATATCTGCAACACTTGAAGATAGTGTTGACACAAGTAGGGGGCACAATAAATAGTCATTGAGTGAATAAATGAATCAATGAATGATTAAATGAATGAACGGAATACTCAAACATCTGATGCATTATAACATGGTACATCAGTACTTACTTGAAACAACCCTCAAATTTCCCTTTTCTCCTTCCATTAACAAAGCACAGAATTCATGAGATAAGGTATACGAGGATAGGCCAAGCACAGTGGTTCGTGCCTGTAATCCTAGCACTCTGGGAGGCCAAGGCAGGAGGATCGCTTGAGTTCAGGAGTTCAAGACCAGCCTGAGCAAGAGTGAGACTGTCTCTACTAAAAATGGAAAAATTAGCTGGGCATCATGAGGATCGCTTGAGCCCAGGAGTTGGAGGTTGCTGTGAGCTAGGCTGATGCCACTGCACTCTACCCAGGGGACAGAGTGAGACTCTGTCCCAAAAAAAAAAGAGGAAAAAAAAGAAATAGAACTCTCCTCTTCACTCCCTCCTCATATAAAAATAAATAAATAAATAAATAAATAAAATAAAAGACATACGAGTATAATTTTAAAAGTGAAATATACTTAAATAATAAGAAACTTGGAAGAGTTCTCAAATTATTCTTTGCTTAGAAAACTATGCCATTATTGGCCAGGCGTAGTGGCAGGGACCTGTAGCCCCAGCTTCTTGGAGAGCTAAAGTGGGAGGATCCTTTGAAGTCAGGAATTGGAAGCTGTAGATTGTCCCTGTGAATACCAATCTGCACTCCAGCCTGGGGGCAACATAATGAGACCCCCTCCCTAAAACAAAAAAAAGAAAGAAAATGAAAGAAATTGCATTAAAACAAAAATTTTAAAAATCCTATGCCATTATTTTGTGTTAGCGAGAGACAAATTCACTAAACCACATATCAAGTTTGGATTCATATTAAAGAATGCAGGAATGCCTCTACTGTCTGAGAAATTTATAAAATTATATTTTTATTGACACTATAAGTTATTTTAAATTGAATGGATGGCCACGTAAGGTTTACAAAGAATCCTTTTTTTCATTGTTTTTTAAGGATAAATTCTCATCTTTTGAAATTAGCCTCATTCCTACCCAATGATTTCTCAAATCCCATCATTAATCTATCAATTGATCAATAATTTAACAAGCACTTATCCATGACCTATTACATTGTCACAATTTATCAAGGTATTCTGTAGGGACCCTGTCTCTACAAAAATTTTTTTTCAAAATAGCTGGGCATGGTGATACCTATAGTCCCAGCTACTCAGAGGCTGAGGCAGGAAGATCCCTTGAGCCCAGGAGTTGGAGGCTGCAGTGAGCTACAATTGTGCCACTGCACTCCAGCCTGGACAACAGAGTGAGATCCTGTCTCTTAAAAAGAAAAAAAAAGAAGAATTGTGAGTCATCTAGGTGAGTTACTGTGGAGCTATGTATATGAGTTCATATTTTGGCATCCTAGACAGGTTAAGAAACATCCACATGTACTCACCTGCAAAGATATCCATAACATAATTTTAATTAAAAAAAAAAGTTGTAGACCAGCATGGAAAGTGATTTTTAATTAAAAAAAAAGAGTAGGTTTGGGCTATAGATAACTCTGTTCAGAAGGCATGATAGAAGGTAATAGTGGTTGGAAGGAGACATAGTGCTTGCCCTCAAGAAGTTTTTGTCTAGTGAGAGAGATAAGACTTGTATGTAAATAAAATTATGATACTAAGGTAGATACTGAGAGGCACCTAAAGGGAGGATCAGATAAGGTGTCAAGAGAATCCAGAAAAGGGACTGGATTAATTCTGAGAGCATTAAAGAATGTTCATGGAAGAGATAATGTTTTAACTGGACCTTGAAGGTATATGCGAGAGTGTAGAGAGTGGGTACATTCAGAATCTACTTTAAAACCAATATTTGCCTCTATTTTAGTGGTGTTGAGTTATAGACCCAACAATGTACTACTTATTAGAGATGCACACACACATATACATATCGATGTAGAGAGATGCATATTTTTAATACATGTAGCAATTTATTAATAAATGTACATGTTAAATCTCCAGTAAAACCTTAGAGGGATGGCAAACTCCATTGTATGATATTTAGCAGCATCCCTGGCCTCTCTACTCACTAGATTCCGATAGCATCACTGCAGTCGTGATAACCAAAATAGTCTACAGCCATTGCCCTGTAGGGACAAAACAGCCCTTAGTTAAGAACTACTGGTATACATAAACTAAGCATACACAAGAGATTCCTTTCCTCTCCTCTGCAGGTGGATAAAAACTCTAAAGTTCATAGCATGGATTTTCCTTTTAGGTTGCTTCTTCAATGGTTCTTAACCCCACTGGGTCAAGGAAGCCTTTGAAGATCTGTTGAAAGCTGTTTACTTATTCATTTCTCTGAAAAACACACACTCCCCCACCATATTGAGTACAATTTCAGGGGATTTACTCTAGGGTTCTCCTAAGAGAAGTTGTGTGTCTTGGGGCTTGTAGAATTGTCGTGGTCTGTATTTTCCAGGTAGGTGGGTAACTAATATTTTGGAGCCTCTTCTGTATTTACTTTCAAACACTGATAATCAGGTGAGAATGGTCTGGCTTACCAAACCCTTTCTTCTGCCCTTCATCTTAACCATGCGTTAGTCAGTTTTATCAAAAAGTAGCCCAACATAAGACAAAACACGGGTGAGGTCAGATAGATTCAGCTCCCCCTCACTGTCATCCAGTCTCCACTCCAGTCGAGTTCAGTTTATCCCTTCCCACATTGTCCAGATGAACGGGAAGAAAGAAAAACCAAAGAGTCAGGCAAGATAGGGGCCACCTGGCCACTGATTTTGATTGTGAAATATAGCACCCACAGAGAGAAATGTGTATGTATCGAAAAGGCTGTGTATCTAAAATTTATAAGTAAATGATAAGCTCTCTACAGCTTCCACCCACGTACTACTCCTAAAAGACTTTCTAGAAACCCAAAGGCTTATTAATGTAGAAAACTGGCACCGCTCCTCTCCTCCCCACCTGTGCCAGAATGTGCAGTTCCCTGATTCTCAACCTGGGAGTCAAGGTCGGCGCTCCCAGTGATCAATGACCTTTTCCTCTACGCGGGGCTCTGCTCTCCACTAACTAGTCCCGGGGCCGACCGGTCCCTGGCCTCGTAGCCCGCATTAGTAATTGGGGGGTGAGTGAGGATCTGGGTGGCCCCTGCGTGACAGCCAGTGAGATTCTCAGCCTTCCCTGGTCGGGAAAGGGGAGGAATGCGGGAGGGGTAGGATTTCTTTCCCGATAGGATCGGTAGGGAAAGACCGCAGCCTGTGTGTCCTTCCTTTCGACCACGGTGTCTCTATTGCTCCGTAAATAAAACGTCCCACTGCCGAGCGCGAGCGCTATAAAGGCAGCGGACCGCGGTCCGCGGGGCATTCAGGGCCGGGCGCGAGCAGAGCAGGAGAGCAGGTGAGTTCAGCCCGGGCCCGCGGTGTCGTCCCGGAGCCGCCGGTGGCTGAGGATGCGACTAGTGAGGGGGCACGGAGCGCGCGGGCCGGGGCCAGAAGAGCCTTCTTTACGAGACGCTGATAGCAAGGAGAAGAGTAGGAAAACAGGACGGGGGAAGAGACTTGCTCCACCCGGGGAAAGTTCTGCCTCCGGGAGAGCTGCGACCGCCGCCGGAATTCGCCCGCAGCGCACGCAGCCTCGGGCCTGGGGAGCACGCCCTGAGGGTCCCACGCCGGGCCCGGGGCCTGGGCTTCTCTCCCTGTGCACGCCTGAAGCTGCGTCCTAGGTCGGGCGTGGGAAGGGAGGGACGCTCACAGTGTCCCCTTCCCGCCTCGCACGCGCCCCGGCCCCTGCCCCAGCCCTGGTTTGGGGGAGATTTCAGGACGCGGACAGCGCCCTAGCAGCTCGCGGGAGGGGCCTGGGTCGGGCTCTGGAAGCCCCCAAAGCGAAGCTCACTCCCTTCGAAGTGGGGGAGCCCCGGGCAGCAGGTGCAGGCCCTGGGACTCGACGGTGCTCAGGTGCCCCCCTGCAGGCTGGCCGGGTGCGCCGTGGGGCGGCGAGACGCGAACGCCGGGGGCTGCAGGACGCGGACCGGGCTCGCCGGGGTGGACTGCGACTGGTGGGGCCGGGAGGCAGCTAACAGGTGGTTCCCTCTTTCTGCTCCCCGCTCTTCACCCGCGCTTGTCCTCGCTCGCTGCGTCTCCTTCGTCCTTGCTGTCCCGCGGCTCGCAGGTCATGGCAGCGCCGGGAGGCAGACCCGAGCCGCCGCAGCTCCCCGAGTACAGCTACAGCTACGTGGTGTCGCGGCCGGTCTACAGCGAACTCGCCTTCCAGCAAAGGCACGAGCGGCGCCTGCAGGAGCGCAAGACGCTGCGGGAGAGCCTGAGCCAGGGCTGCAGGTAGCGGCCGCGCGGGGATGGTGCGGCGGCGGGGCCGGGGCGCCGGGCGGGAGGATGTGCCCTGCGGCCGAGCGGCGGGTGCGGGCGGCCGGCCCGGGGCGCCGGCTGCTTCTCCCAGAGGCCGGACTCTGGGTCTCCGTCCTCAATGCTGCCCTTCCTGGTCGGGGGGTGGCTCCATGGTCTCCAGCCCGAAACGCAACTCACCTTTGGGAGACGGGGTTCCGAGAGCCCCATCTCTCTTTTCCCTCTGTTGAGGAAACCTGGAGTGCACCCTGGAGTGCAGGCGGTCCCTGCCGCCTGCTTGTGTGGGCCCGACCGTGGAAAGGGGGAAGAGGGGATAGTTTAAAGGACGTGATGGGTACCCTGAGCAGGAGTCCTTTGCAGGCGGGAGACATTCAGTTAGGGACCCCGAAGGAAAGCTAGACTGCCGGAGTGCGCGTGTGCTCCGAGTACTTCACCAGGAGGCAGTGTGGGGAGAAACACCGTCAGTCTCTAAACCCAGATATGCCATCCATAAGTGGGTATCACAACCGTAAACTTAGCAGTTAACTAATTGCCAGATTTTCTTTTTTAAAACCTTTTATTATAGAACATTTTAAATATTAATATATACAAAAGTAGACATAGTAGTATAAAGAATCCTGGTTGCATGATTTTACTCATCACCAGGCTTCAACGATAATCAACTCAAATTAATCTTCCTTCGTCTGTCACCGCTCACTTGCCTCCCTCCAGTATTGCTTCGAAGCAAATCCCGTATTGTGTATCTTTTTTGTCTTTATATATTTTAGTAGTACTTTTAAAGACTCGTTTAGAAAATATAACCACATTCCATTATCACACCTAAAAATAATCCCTTAATATCAAAAATTGAGTAGTTAAAACTTCTTATAAATGTCATAGTGTTAAAAAACAATTTATCGAAATCAGCAGTCAAATAATATCTACCTACTTTTGATTTTTTTCTTTTATCTATATGTTGCTGAATTTTAAAAATACTAAGTAGGAAGGTACAGAGTATACATTCATGTTAAGATGTTTGTAAAAACTGACTCCAAGCTTGTGCTGCCAAAATATACAGAGTGTGTTTGTTTTTCTCGAAAGGAAATAATAACAATAAGAAGAAGGCGCCTGGCTTAGAAGTCTGAAAATTAATCTCCATTTAGAGACTCCACATTAATCAGTCCCTGGCTGGACAGGAAAATGGGTTCCTGTGTAGGGATATTTTCTCAGAAGATAAGAAAGGAGGGAGTGGTGGGGAAAATTAATCCTGTTTTCTAGTATAGTACATTTAAAACAATAGGTGTTATTCTTGGCAAAAGCATGGTAAGCACTTCAGTGTTAGTATTTTGCATGAAATTCTTATTCTATTTCTAAATAGTTATAAATATCAGCAGAGTTCATTTCATCATTTTGTGATTTGCAATTGGTTATGACTGAGATTGAATTGGAAACCCACATTCCACTTGCTTTTTGACAGTTGTTCAAGAAAGAAAGCCTTTGGCCTGCTGAAGACTCTCATGCCCATTTTGGAATGGCTCCCCAAATACCAAGTCAAGGAGTGGCTGCTCAGTGACATCATTTCAGGAGTTAGTACTGGACTAGTGGGTACGCTACAAGGTAAGATGTTGGTGGATTGGCTTCGAAGTGATTGAGAGTTACGGTCTCCAGCAGCAGTTCAAAACTTGTCCTCAGCTACCATGGGTCTGTACCAGATCCTTGTTCACCTTTCAAGGCCTTCATCTTTCCTCTAGAGCCCTTCAGTAGAGAAATTCACCTCTTTTCTCCTCTTCCCTAGGGTTCTCTTCCTAGGAAACTCTGTTGCTCCTGGCTGCATGGCTCCAACTTACAGGCATATACTAAGCAGTGGCTTCCCAATTTTAATTGACCACAACTCACAGTATGAAATATTTGTCACATCATGATCTGTACACACATATCTAAAGTTTTGGCCGGGCGCGGTGGCTCACGCCTGTAATCCTAGCACTCTGGGAGGCTGAGGCAGGAGGATCGCATGAGGTCAGGAGTTACAGGTTGCAGTGAGCTGTGATGAGGCCACTGCACTCCAGCCTGGATGACAGAGGGAGACCCTGTCTCAAAATAAATAAATAATAAAGTTTTGTAAAATATTTATCCTCACTACGAGTGATACACTCTGATTTTTAAATTCTGTTCTATTCTTATTTTTAAAAAATGTTGATTGCAGCCCACTAAATTATTTTATAACCCACACATGGGTCTTGACCTGTAGTTTGAAACTGGCTTAAGGGAAAGCAAAGGAAGTATCTTAGCCTAGACTATATACATGAGTGTTTTTTCTGCTCTACTCTTTTTTTAAAATCCATCCTCTTATTTTAATCTTTGGGAAAATTTCCCATCATAGGTGGTTTTCTTTTTTTTTTGAAACAGGCTTTCTCCCATAATATTTCCATAAGCATTTTAGAAATTTGTTGCATTGTTGGTGCATAGCTGTATGGGCATTTTTCTGTGTGCCTCATTCCCATTATCTTGTTTCTGCCCCCCTCACCATTTGGCCCAATTCCCCAAAGGCCCTGAACCATGAAAACAGAAATCTCGCTTATTTATTATAATTTTATGGAGCACCTCGTGTATGCCATGCACTAGGCATGCTGACATGAATAAGACGCACCACCTGCTTGCAAGGCGCTCATAGTCCAATGGAGAGATAGAAGATAACAATTCAGTGCGATAAGGGCTGTAGCAGGGTTGCCCGCTAAGGGAATGCAAATGGAGCACACTCAACCCAGTCTTGGCGGATCGGGAATGGCTTCCTGGAAGTTGAGTTGTCAAAGCTGAGTTTCCCTGAAGGCTAAGACTGGATTTGCCAAGTGATGGGAAGTAGAGTGGAGTGGGGATGGCTTGAAAATAGACTATTTCAGAAGTTAGTAATAAATGTTGAGCAATAGTGTGAGCTGAAGTTTGGCTGTGGAGCTCTCATGATTACTCAGAGCAGGCCAGGTAGATTCCCAGAGAGCAGAAAGCTGTCCTATGGCCCCAGTGAGGAGCCTTAGCCTGGTCAAGCATGTTTTCAATCACGAAGGTGGTTTGAGGGGCAAGGGTGGAGAGAGGAGAGAGAGCAGGAGGGATGGGTTGTGCAGTTCATAGGTTAAGCAACACCAAGTGTTCTACACAGTGGGCTATAATGGCTGTGATGTGGCAACACCCTGTGACTCCAGGGGACCGGAACCATGTATAATTTATGTTTGTTTCGCAGGTGTCTAGCACAGAGACTGGCACAGAATAGGTGGCGTATTTAGTGAAGAGGACTGATTTGCATTCCTGATAATGAATCATCTTTATATAGGAAAAATAGTTTTCACGTTCCATGTCTCCCCAGTTTTCATAGATGAGTATCTTATATAAGAATTAATTTTGTTTAATAAGTATTGGACACTCTACCAAGGGCTTTGGCTAGTTACCTCATTTAATCCTCACAACAACCCTGCTAGGTAGGTACTACTATTATCTCCTTTTCAATAGATGAGCAATCTAGTAAATCTTGCCCAAGGTCATAAAGCTGGTAAGTGGTTAAGCTGAGATTTGGTCCTGGAGTCTAATTCCCACAGTCTTAATTTATATACTGTGTAGTTCCTTACTTTATGGGTAATATGTTTTTCCAGAAACATTATCTCTATAAAGTTATCTTTGTGAGCAAAATTTCTGGGAGGTTAATCTGGCTCATTCATACATTCATTTAGCATTCATTTGCTTAATACTTACAGACTAATTCTGCATGCCAAGTGCCCAGCCATAGGGATTCAGTGGCATACGAACAGGCACAGGTCCTGACCTCATGGTGCTCATTTTGAGAGATAGAGTTGGGAATTAAATAAGTAGATAAACTGAAAAATAATTATAGAATGTGATCTTCATTGTGGTGGATTAAACGTGCTGTAATAGGGATTAATTTGGGAAGGGAGGTCTATTTTAGATACAAAGGTCAAGGAGACCTTGCTGAGGAGGTAAAATTTAGTTAGAGACCAGAGGATGACAAGGAGGCAACCCTGTGACAAGCAGAAAGAAAAGTGTACTAGATCAAGGTGCTAAGGCCCTAAGGCCAACTGGAGTTCAGTAATTTTGAGGAAGAACAAGAAGAATTCTAGTGTGGGTGAGTGTGGTGGGGGAGGGTGGGTAAACAATGAGATAAGGTTAGTCAGGGAGGGGTGGGGTGGTGGGGGTTGGGGGGAGGTTAGGATGAGGGAAGGGACATGCTCACTCTCAGGGCATGTCCTCTTTCAATCTTATGCCCTAGGCCCCTCACTTGCCTCACCCTATTCCTAGCCCTGTGGGGATATCGCTGTGAATTGGAGGGAGGACAGGTGTGTCAGCTTGAACCAGATCAGGCAGGATATGGAGAGAGCTGTAAGATCCGAAAAATATTTTTGCAGCAAGAATCACTGATATGTACTGATGAGTGTGGATGAAAATCACAGATGCTTCAAGGCTGTTGGCTTGAGCAACTGGGTAGATAGTTACATCATTTATTGAAATGGCAAAGATTGGCCGAGGAGCAGGTCTGGGATGGAAAATCAAGTTTCCTTTTGGACATGCTAAGTTTGAGATGCATGTGAGATAGCTAAGATGCCAAATGGAGAAGTTGGAGCTACTGCAAGTGTGAAATTCAGAGGAGAGGTCTGGGCTAGACATAAAAATCAGGAAAGCATCACTTTAGAGGTGGTATTTAAAAGAGTGGGAATGCCTGTGATTACCCAGGAAAAAGCCAGATGGGGAAGAGAAGGGGGCTGGCTGGAGTACTTAGGGGTTAAGAAGATGAGGACAGGGGCAACAAAGAGCCTCAGAAAGATGAGCCCAGCAAGTTAAAGAAAAAGAACAATCAAAGGAATGTGGGCTCAGAAGCCAAGAGAGTTTTTTTTTTTTTTTAAACAATGGATAGAAGGACAGATAGTGTTGAATATTCCTGAAGGGTGGCATATGGTGAAGTATTACAGACTGTTTTTAAGAAGTTTCGCCATGAATTGGAGGGAGATAAGAGATACTGATGGCGTAAAGGAAGGGTTTGTTTTTCTTGAGACCGTGTCTTGCTCTGTTGCCTGGGCTGGAGTGCAGTGGTGTCATCATAGCTCACTGCAACCTCTAACTTCTGGGCTCAAGCAATCTTTCCACCTTGGCCTCCTGAGTAGCTGGAGCTATAGGCTCTCGCCACCAGGCCCAGCTCTTGCATATCTGGAGACTGGGTTTCGCTATGTTGCCCAAGCTGGTCTTGAACTCCTGGCCTCAAGCGATCCTCCTGCCTTGGCCTCCCAAAATGTTGGGATTACAGGCATGAGCCACTGCACCTGGCCCTGTTTTTCTTTTAATATGGGAGATACTAGAATGTATTTGTGAACTGGTAGGGATGACCCTGTAGAAATAAAGAGATGTTGTGGTCCAAGAAGTAGAGGAGAATCAACTAGAAGAAAAGTAGTGAAAGGGGCAAGTGTGGATGAGTTTGAGAAGAGAAGTAAGGATTACTCCTTAAAGGCAGGAGGGTTATTTCTTCCATTTTCAAAGGAAGAATGACAGTCCAAATAGTGCAGATGCAGAGAGGTTTGGCAATTTGCTAAAAAGCAACTTGGGAGCATCTCTTATGGATTCTGTGTTTTTGATTAAGTGTAAGATACGTTTGTTAACTTTGGAAGAAGGGGTTGGGCAGTGTGAGGTAGGTAGGGAAGTGTTGAGTAGTTGTCTGACAGAGAGAAAAAGCACCTTTCTGAGATGTCATTGGACTGCCAGGCAGCGCTGAGTGCCTATCTGGGACTAGTGATCACACATTTCTCGTGAAACTGGTCAGCCGAGGCGTGGATGCCTCCAGCCCTGTTTATCCAGCTGCTCGGAGGCTGTCATGGAAAAGGTAGGCGTTCAGGTTCAGCCAGATTGGGGTTTTACTGGACAAGAAAAGGAAGGAGAAAGTGACGCAAAGGAGTGAAAAGTATTTGCAGAATTCCTTGGAATCTGGGCAGGGCAAAGATGGAAATGAAGATAGGAGGGTGCCAAGGATAGCGAGAAAGTGGACCAGTTAATGGATTAGAAGCCACCTGGAGACAAAGAAATGTTGCAAATGAGGGTTCTGGAGTTGGTGAGCTGGAAGGCTTGGAGGCTGTAGCTGGAGAGAGGGATGCTCAAAATTGAGATTTCAGAGGCGGTGATGCAGTTTCCAGTGATGACAAGGTCCATGGTATAACTGTCGGCTGGGAAGCTGGGGAGTGGTGGAAGAACTCCTCAGAGAAAACAGGCTCAAGGTACTGAGAAGCCAGGGAGTTGCTAAGGATTATGGGATCTTTCTGATTTTTGCAATTAAAAAAATTCCCATTAGGCAGTGAAAGATTGATGCACCCTTGTAGTACTATCTTGATTTGCAGCTATGAGGAGTCTGCTGTCCACTTCTATTTTTGACATACATTTATTTGTTTGTTTATTTACTTATTCATTTATTTAAAATAACAGAAATTTATTTCTCCAACGTGAAGGCGCCTGCAGATTCAGTTTCTGGTGAGGGCCCATCTCCTTACTGTGTCCTCACATGGTGGAAGGCTTTGCCTTTGGATGTTTTCAAGCGTTTATTAGCACTTGCTCTATCACTATATGCCACCATCCTAGACAGCATGGGCACCAACACGGAGATTTCATAATTTAAATAAATGGTTTAGGTTTCTTTAGAAATTGTATAATTTTCAAATCATACCAATTTCCTTTATAATAAAGATGATTACAGCATATTTGAGAGCTGTTGTCCCTAAATAGGACACTCTATACGAAAACTGAAAAGTCTCCGTTTTCCAGGCTATTAAGAACGGCAGCGCCCAAGTCAAAGAAATGGAAGTTTGAGAAGCAATTTATATATTAAGACAATTGCACTAGTAATACACATTTTTCTAGAATGCAGATTCTACAAGGATGGAGACTTTGTTGTAACAGTGCCTGGCACATGGTAGGTGCAGAATCAATAGTTGTTGAAGGGATGAATGAATGAATGAATGCTCATTGTAGAAAGTTAGAAAATACATACAAGGAACATGAAAAAATACCTCCTCCATAAACTAGAAGTCTCCTGTGATCCTACCATATAGATAACCCATTAATATTTTAGTAAATATCCTTGTAGACACACACACATATATTAAAATATAATGAAATATCTGGAAATAATAACCACCAAATTCAGGATAGTGGTTGCCTTCGGAGGCTGGAGGGAAAAAAGAGAATGTGATTGAGGAAGAGTATAAAAGAGTTTCAACTGCACCAACAATAATTTACTTCTTAAGCTAGATGATGGATACGTAGGTGTTTATTATGTTATTCATTGTCTTTTTGGCATATTTGAATTACTTCATATTATACTAAAAATCTCTCAAGATTTTTTTTTTTTTTTTTTTTGAGACAGAGTCTCACTCTGTTGCCCTGGCTAGAGTGAGTGCCGTGGCGTCAGCCTAGCTCACAGCAACCTCAGACTCCTGGGCTCAAGCGATCCTTCTGCCTCAGCCTCCCGAGTAGCTGGGACTACAGGCATGCGCCACAATGCCCGGCTAATTTTTTTTTCTATATATTTTTAGTTGTCCAGATAATTTCTTTCTATTTTTTTTAGTAGAGACGGGGTCTCGCTCTTGCTCAGGCTGGTCTCAAACTCCTGAGCTCAAACAATCCGCCCGCCTCGGCCTCCCAGAGAGCTAGGATTACAGGCGTGAGCCACCGCGCCGGCCTCTCCAGATTTTTTATGCATACAACATACATGCTTACTTTTACAAAAGTGGGACACGCATACTTATCAGTTTTGTATCTTGATTTTTCTCATTTTTTTTCCTTTTACTTCTCATCTCTTGATGTTAATAAATGTACTTCTATGCATTACATCAATTTCATTCCATGAAATTAAAATGTATGAACCATAATTTAGTTAACTACTTCCCTGTTTTGGGACACTCATCTAATAAATAATATTGACTCCCCATGGGCCAGGATATTTAGGTTGTTGCCACTTTTTAAAAACTATTATAAATGTAATCCTTTATTAATGGCTCAAAGGTCAAAGGGCTTGATTTTCTTTCGCTGTGAGTGAAAGGTGGGCAGGTAAAATGGAGTAAGATATGCTGACCACCTAAGTATTTAATGAAGGAAAAAAATGTGTCATTATCCTCTTCCAACCCCCATGTATACTGAAATGTTGACTTCTCCATCCATAGCCAGACACTCGTGGACTTTGAGTCTGATGGCATAGCCTGGTGGAGGAACTGACCACCTTAACCATGGTAGCGTTGTCTTACCTGCTGCTGTATATAATTGCCATATTTTTTTCTTTCTTTGGATCTAACTTTTCTTCCACAACAAGAAAGGAGAAAGAGTAGTACAACACTGACTGTGTCCCTCAGAACTCAGAGGAACACTGAACTCAAATAAAACTGTTTGCATGCAAAAAGGGTCTGAGCCTTTGGACTGAATTGACTGAGTTTCTAATCAATGACTGACTTGATTGTTTTTCCCCACTGATCTGATCAGTGGATGATTGAACTACTGATCACTTGAGTTGATTGATTTGAGCAGGTGATGCCTGTAGATGCAATCATTTATCCCAACTGATGCGCATGCTGTTCTGCATACTAGTATAGTCACAGCCTATGTGCAAAATGAGGAGACAACTCAGGACAGGCTGATGTGTCGAAGCTGTAAATTGAGAATATCTGTGAAAAGGTTGTTGCAGTAGAAAGACAGCTACTCCTCTACTTAATATGAGGTTACATCCCAATAAACCCATTAGAAATTAAAAATATCTTAATATTTAATACATTTAATACACCTAACCTACCAAACACAGCTTAGCCTAGCCTACCTTAAATGTCCTCAGAACATTTATATTAGGTTACAGTTGGGCAAAATCATCTAACACAAAGCTTATTTTATAATAAAGTGTTGAATATCTCATGTAATTTATTGAATACTATACTGAAAGTGAAAAACATAGTGGTTGTATGAGTACTTAAAATACAGTTTCTATTGAATACATATTGCTTTGCACCACCATAAAGTAAAAAATCATAAGTTGTACCCTCTTAAGTTGGGGACCTTCTGTATATCATAACTTTTGTTTGTGAATTTAATCATTTTGGATGTACTTTCAGGGATGGCGTATGCTTTACTAGCTGCAGTTCCTGTTGGATATGGTCTCTACTCTGCTTTTTTCCCTATCCTGACATACTTTATCTTTGGAACATCAAGACATATCTCAGTTGGTAATTATAAGCATATCTTATGATTGTATTTGTTCATGTTTTAAGCGTTTTGGCTACATTATGTGCATTATGTTTCTATATCTTTGTTAAAGTTTTTCAGGGAAATAGGGTGTCAATGCTTTGCCTACTTTTTCTGTTCAATGATGTTAGTTAGCTTTCTACATAACTTTTTTATGAAGAGGAGCAAATCAAAAGACTGAAAATTATAGCTTAACTTCAAAGTTTAGCATGCTTTGATTTTTTAAAATGTAATAAATTTGACTCCATATATAAAAAAGGTTCTCTTCCAAAATATAGAATGACAGGGAAGAAAATCTCACAAGGTTTTTGAACCAACCATTTTACTCAATTAACTTAGCATGTACTAAATTATGTTCATCAAATACATATTCATTATTTCATTAAAGAACATACTTATTTTAAGTTACTTATATCAGGAGACTGGCAAAATCTTGCCAAAACAATTTAGAAGCTAAGCTTGGCTTTCCTTCTTTGTATGGCTTATAATAAGTTTTCCTGCCATTCCTAAAATTTGAATTCTCTTTTGCCAGAATGTTCTAGTAAATGAATGTCTTAATGCTATTTTGTGACTTTGACATTTATACTAGAGATAATTTTGTTCCTACATCCATCTGCTGGCTAGACACGTCTACCTGGATGATCCTCTTGAAACAAATACAACCATCTACTTTATCCCCAACCCATGTCCCTGTCCTTAGCTGTATCTCCCCAGGGTCTATCATGTTGCCTTGTCTGGAGGAGGAGATCAGGAAGAGGTTATTGATAGGTTGAGAGAACTTCCTCACCTTGGAGAATTGATCAGTATCAAATGTGTGACCAGATGAGGAACACGGAAGCTGATTTTTCTCTTTGGTATTCTACACATTTAGACACTCCAGGTGACTGGATTTGGGTTTGGAGTCTGCCTAACCTAAAACTTTCCACGATCAAAGGATCGGATTATCATCATCATCATTATGGATAAAAATATCAGTAGTGAATGAAGTAATTGCTGGGAGAAAAGAGTGGTTTTTTTAAAACATAAAATATTACAGATTGGCATTTGATATGAAAATAATTTGTCTTACAAAAAGAAAAACAGAAACCATACACTCCCTTTGCTGTTTCTTAATCCTAATTTAGACTCTGTGATACTGATCGTGGTACTCAGGTTCACAGAGATCAAGACATTGGACACTCCAGGAAGTTAATGAGATTATATGGAATAAAAATTAAGTGGAACAAGTAAGAACTCTATTTATATGCTACCTCTGCCAGGAAACCTTTTTATTGATTGATTGATTGATTTTATTTTATTTTTTTGCTCACCTATGATAACTCCTTCATGCCAGGAAACCTTTACCGACAACTCTCATCTCTGCCTCCACCCAAAACACATGAGCATCACATGTGGATTAGACGCCCTTCCTATGTACTCACAAAGCATCCTGAGTGCTGTATTACAATCACCTACCTACGTGTTTCTCTCGTCCATTTCTGGATCACGATTGCCTTGAGACATCTGCTTTTTAGCTTCTTTTGTGAACGAACAATATTTTTTTAGTCACAGCTAATTATTTCACACATCTTTCTAATCCTATGTAGACATGTTGAACATTTGTGATTAATACCTGATTAATCGTTAGAGACTTTTTTCCCCAGGACCTTTTCCAGTGGTCAGTTTAATGGTGGGATCTGTTGTTCTGAGCATGGCCCCCGACGAAAACTTTCTCGTATCGAGCAGTAACGGAACTGCATTAAATACTACCACGATAGACTCTGCAGCTAGAGATGCAGCAAGAGTGTTGATTGCGAGCGCCCTTACTCTTTTGGTTGGAATCATACAGGTAATGGACTTACGAGTAAAATGTAGATTGGTGTAATTTTTATTTGAAATTAATCTTAAAGCCTATAGCCTTAAAGATTCTCCTAAAAGCAAAACAAAATAATTTCCTGGCTCCCAAAGTTATTTTTTGTTTTAGGTCAGATGCTAAAATAGTCAGCAAGACTCCACTTATTAAGGCTCACTTATCATCAAAGTCAGAGACAGAAAAAAAGCACAGAAGAATATGTGTAACTCAATTGAGGATGAGAGAAGGGAAGTGTTCCGGAATCCATAAAAGAGAAAAAAGTGTTCTGGTGAGCGGAGCCACAGGACCTGAAAGTCATAGAAATAAGCTACATGATTTTTGCTTTTCTTAGTACTTATATAGAAATACTTCAGGGTTTATATTACATGTTTTCAAATTTTAGAGTGGTGGAGGGGAGGGGAGAGATAGGGAATTGAGAAATTCAGATGTATCCTACAAGTATTTTTGTGCTGTAGGCAGGATACCAGTGTTTTAATTGGTGTTAAGCTTAATTTGTTAATATTTCCAGAGAGTTGGTTCTTCTCTCTGGCAAACATGTAATTTTTCCTTCCTTCTTCTTACCCTAGTTGATATTTGGAGGTTTGCAGATTGGATTCATAGTGAGGTACTTGGCAGATCCTTTGGTTGGTGGATTCACAACAGCTGCTGCCTTCCAAGTGCTGGTTTCACAGCTAAAGATTGTCCTCAATGTTTCAACCAAAAATTATAATGGGGTTCTCTCCATTATCTATGTAAGTGTTGCTTCTTACTCCAGGGAAGGGTCACTGATCAAAAAATATACTCTCTCTCTTTAACTTAAGTCTGGAGAACCCATGTTCCTCTATGTGTATTTTGGGAGCCATTGAAAGGACTTTGTTGCTTTTTCTCTGGAAGAAGGATTAAATCAGGAGTAACGTCGAAGAAGGCAGATTTGGTCGGGTGCAGTAGCTCATGTCTGTAATCCTAGAGCTTTGGGAGACGGAGGTGGGAGTATTGCTTGAGGCCAGGAGTTTGAGACCAGTCTGGACAACATAGTGAGACCCAATCTCTACAAAAAATTTAAAAAATTAGCCAGGCACAGTGGCACATGCCTGTAGTCCTAGCTACTTGGGAGGCTGAGGCAGAAGGATCACATCTGCCCAGGAGTTTGAGGTTGCAGTGAGGTACAGTGACACCACTGCACTCCAGCCTGAGTGACAGAGTGAGACTCTGTCTCAGAAAAATAAAGAAGGCAGATTTTCAAATCATTGTTCTCAATTGGTCAAAATGGTTTCTGAAATACTACTGCTCTTAAATGAAAACCAAGTGGTATAAGTAAAGACTGGTCTGGGAGGTAGTAGACTTGAGTTTAATCTCAGCTTTGCCTCTGACATGCGAAGTGACCTGGGACATATCAGGTAGTGATAGTGACTGCAATTTCAGATTTGGAGCTGGTTGAAACTGGATTCATTTTTTTTTATTTCAATAGATTTAGTGGGTATGAATGGTTTTTTTGGTTTCATGAATGAATTGTATAGTGGTGAAGTCAGGGCTTTTATTGTAGCCATCACCCAAATAGTGTACATTGTACTCAGTAGGTGGTTTTTGATCCTTTGCCCCATTCCCACCCTCCCCTTGGATTCAGATTCTAATTCTACTACCTACTAGGCATGTGAGCAAATCACCATGCCTTAGTACTAAGACTACCTCACCGAATTGTTAAATAAGAATAGATGAGAAGCACTCGGCTCAGGGGCTGGCACGTAACAAGCACTCCCCCCAAAGAAGTAGTTATTTTGAAATTATTTCAAAGTGTCTTTTCTTTCTTATTTATAAAATGAAATAATTAGAAATGTATCTTTCAGGCCTTTTCTAACCAAGAGAGTCCATAAAACGCATAATATAAAAGTCTCAGCAATTATAGATGAAAAGGAACATCAGATTCAGAGATGATTCAATATGCAAAAGAGATGCAGAAGGAGGATGTAGATCGCACTAATTTGATTTGAAAAAGTTCTTGGATCTAAATATATGTTCTATATAAAGCGTGTTATTGATGCTTGAAAAATGGTGATAATAGTATCATGATGTCATCCTAACTTGATGGGAATGATACTACATAGAAATAATGTGCCAACATTAAGAATGGAGTTTAAGTCCCTTTATGACCCATCTATTAGCTTCTAAAACAATGTAAGGAGAACGCATATCTAAGAATTAGTGAGGTTGTCAGGAATAGGCCCAATTTTATAACAGTGCCATAATCCCACATTGCTGCATCCATTCAACAGATATTACCAAGTGCTTACTGCGGGCCGGGTTCTATGCTAAGCAGTGAGGATGGATACAGGAGGCAGAATAACAGTGATTAAGACTATGGACTTTGAACTTTAACAGACTTGGTTTGGACTCTTGGTTCCACCACCCACGTGACCTTGGCATGTAATATTTAACTTCCCTAAGCCTCAGTGTCTTCAATTGTAGAATGGGGCTAATACTAGTAGCAGTCTCTCAGAGTTGTGAGGATTGTTTGCTTCCACATTCATTTGGTCATTCTTGTTTTTTTTTTTTTTTTCCCTTCTAAGTCCTCAGTTCTCTTTGAGTCCTTCTGGCTGCCTTATTCCAACAGGATCTGTCACTTTTGCAGCCGCTGACACATCCTTCTTTTACTCTCTGCCCATTAGCTGTTCATCCATTTATTCCTTCATTCTCATTCATTCAGTTTATCTACTCAATCAACATTTATTGAATACCCACCCTGTGTCAGGCACTGTTCACTCCCTATATAAACCCACTGACTCTTGAACCCACCAAAACATCCCTTACTGCGCGGACTAACCCCCTGTGTGAACGTTGACAGCCCTGCATCTGCACAGATCGCAGGAGGCCTAGACTAGTGGTTGACCTGGGTCCCTGGCCATGGCTGGACCTTTTACAGAACATGGAAAATGGTTCTTCTGGTCTCCTAGGATTATGTTTAAGAAGAAACTTCCTGCAAATGATTTCACTTTTGACAGGAACAAAAGTGACCAGGAAACACTAGACCAAGGTCAAAATAGTTTTTAAACCAAATACAATCATTATGTGACTTATTTCCTGTTGAATATTTTTCTTGAAGTTTCAGTTTAGCATGTGTCATAGAGTTTTGCAAGAAATTCCTCACAGCCACGTTGGATGAAGGTATTTCAATCATCCCTATGTGGTGGTGAATATAAAACTCGCTCTTCTGAAAAGAAAGAATCAGCAGGTCTGGAAATAATTGCATAAGGGTTAAATGAGTCACTCAGTCCCCAACAGAGAATTTTGCTTATGGCATTACTATTGCAATCATTCATGAAAGAATCCTTCAATAAATGCAGAGTAGTAGTGCATTCTTCCAGGAAGCACTGTACGGTTGTTGTAAAATACTTTGCCGGGAACGTCGTTAACATCCCTTTTGCTGTAAGGTTGTACTTTGGTTTGTCCTGCCTTCTCCCTTAAAGAAGTACTGACAACTGGAAATAATGAATATAAAGAATTGGAGGAGAAAATATTAGGGACAAAAGAAAAATCTTTAATTCACAAATGCTAGAGATGCTGAATATAGGACAGAGAAGGGAGAATAATAGGGTGTTGGCAACAATTTAGAATTAGTAGTACCCTTGATGCCACCATGTAGCTACCCAATTATCTAAGTGAATCTCACAGTCCACTTGTCTGATTGTTTTCCCACCATTTTCACTTTGAATGGTTTGTCTCCATAGACAAGGGGGAGAGTTTTGAAAGCCACTGCTAAGCTTTATCAGATTTGTTACTTTGAACCTATTAATATTTTATTATGTAAAATTTATGCCATTATAATAAATAAAGTAACACTTTAAGGGTTGATCTATATGTATATACACAGAAGATCTGATAGCAGGAAATGCCTGACAGCAAGAGGTGATTATGAAGGGTTTGTTATATTAATGGAGATAAATAAATTCAACTCTAAAAGTTAACTGATAAATTCTTTCATACACAGTATTGGGCATGATTTGTCCTTATTGCTTCATACACCCAGGAAATTCTGGGCAAAACAAAGAATTTATCTAGATGAAATGGTCCTAAAATTCTCCAAACATGGTAGGAAATATAGTAAAATATTGTCCGTTACTGAAAAGCTCATTATCATAATTTGAACTGTTTAGAATTCTAGGCTAAAATACAGAATCATATGTATACTTGTATTTTAAATATGTTATTATAGTAAGTATTTTAACAGTAAACTAAACTAGAAATACTGTTCAGTGCTTTCTTAGAGTCTCATTTCTATTTCTTTGAGTACAATCTGATGATTTCAGTTTATATGGGTGTTTTATTTCTACATAGATTGAACTTTCTGTTGTAGGACTTTTTGTAAGTTGAATCATTGAATGATTACTCAATATGTATGCAGGCAACTCACGTATATACTCATATGCCTTGCTTGATGCAATCCTGTAATATATACTGATTTTGATTTTTGCAGCTCATATTACCTTTATTGATTGATTTGAGATAGGGTCTTGTTCTGTCTCCCAGGCTAGAGTGCAGTGGCGTCATCATTGCTCACTGCAACTTGAAACTGCTGAGCTCAAAGGATTCTCCTGCTTCAGCCTCCCAAGTAGCTGGGACTCAGGCGAGCACCACCACATTTGGTTAATTTTTGTAGTTTTTGTAGAGACAGGGTCTTGCTCTTGCTTAGGCTGGTCTCAAACTCCTGACTTCAAGCAATCCTCCCACCTTGGCCTCCCAAAATACTAGGATTAATAGGCATGAGCCATCGTGCCAGGCCTTATTTATTTATTTTTAGACAGGTTTTCACTCTGTTGCCTGGGCTAGATTGCAGTTGCATGGGCTCACGTGATCCTGCCTCAGCCGCCCAAGTAGCTGAGACTACAGGCATGCACCACTGTGCCTGGCTAATTTTTTTTGTAGGATTGGGTTCAGATATGTTGCCCAGACTGGTCTCAAACTCTGGGCCTCAAGCAATCCTCCCATCTCAGCCTCCCAAAGTGCTAGGATTATAGGCGTGAGCCACCACACCCAACCTCATATTACATTTTTAATACACCAGAGGTGCTTTTTATTCAAAGGTCTAAGTGACTCTCATAGATTAAATGAGTATCTACTAGTGATTATTTTTGTAAGATGAAAATGTTTTTCTGATTGGGATACTTATTCCAAATGTTCTGTCTTTTAAGTTTTGATTTTTCCATCTTGAGTTGAAAAGTAACCTTTATTGTATAGACAATTAATCAAAATATTATACCTAGCTCATGCATTAATGAGAGTCACTGTCAGAAAATGAATTATGTAAAGGGCCAAACAGCAATGATGACCTTTAAGCCTCTGAAGTAGATAGGGCTGTTTGTTCTTATGTTAAATGCCCTAAGTTCTTGTTATTATATCTGTTTGTGGTAATTTACTCGTTTTCTTTTTCACCCTGCTGTCACTTGCTTCATCTTATTGCTGTCAGTGTATCCGCCTATAGCAATTTTCAGTGACTCTGGAAAGAAGACAAAGTAAACTTATTAGTATCGGGTTTAAAGTAAGAGCAAACTTTTACTCTGAGTGAAGAAAGTTCAAGAGACTTTCTGCTAGTTAAATGCCTGAACTCCAGTCCAGGTTCTTGGTAGAATGGATTTTGCTTGCACAATAACTTCTCTCCCTATTCTTTTACTCTTGAATGTGTTCCAGAGAGTTGAGGTTGCTGGCAAAATGACTCCTAGATTATTTAATGTTCATTATACATAGTTGTTACCAGATTGTTGTAATTACGTTAAGAACAGTTATCCATAAAAATAAGTAAAATACATGTTATAAGCTATAAGGTGCTCTATTCTTTTATCTTCATATAAAAATATATCTATAAAAGGACTCATTCAAAGAAAAGCAATCTTCACTGGGAGATCACTTGTCTCAAAGAGTTGTCTCAAAGATACCTTCTCAAATCATGCCTTCAATAGGACAGAAGTTAATATAACAAAGACATCATTGTTCTTCCCTGGGATTCTTCCTTGCTAATTTCCTGAAAAACATCCTTGATTCCCAGGAACCTCCTATTTACAAAACAAAACCCTTAACAGTTTTTCTTGAACTGGCTTGTCTGTGTACTTGGGAAGAGTTACTTTCATTTATCTTAGTTCAAGTTTGATAAATAAAGCACCATGTTTATTTCCAAAAATTTTTACTTGGCCTATATTCAATTCAATTCAATAGCTTCTCTTTGCCATGAAGAATGGATCAATCCACCTGTATCCACACAGGAAGTATTTTAGGGATTTTTTGTTATCATCTGTATCATTTAGGTTTAGAGAAGAGCTTTACCTAAAATTTTGGGTAATTGTGACCAAAACAAAAACAAAAACAAACAACTAGGAGTTTTGAGTTTGTTAGCCTTTAGTCTCAGTAATACCCTATCAACATGGTGAAAATTAGGCCACTTAATTAGTACCTATAAAACCACTTTAAAATATAAACTTTTAAAGTTTCTCTTCAAGTAAAAGTATGTGTATAATGATTTTTTTCTTTTAAAATATCTTCAATTTTATTATAAAAACACAGACAAGTAAAAAGAAGAATATAGGAATCACCCAGTTTTACCTCTCCAAGTAAATCATTATTAATAACTTGGTGTATGTTATTCATTGCAGAGACTGCATGTACTTAATGGTCTCTGTAGTAACCAACACATTATTATGATTTTACATGAAACTTTCAGGTGTTGTTTGATGATGATATTATGATTTTTAATGTGGGAAGATTCATGCGAGAAATGATTTTGTATGTGTGTCCTTGTAGCAGGAAGTATCTAAAATTATTTTCTTTTTACAGACTTTGGTTGAGATTTTTCAAAATATTGGTAGTACCAATCTTGCTGATTTCATTGCTGGATTACTCACCATCGTCATCTGCATGGCAGTTAAAGAATTAAATGATCGATTTAAACACAAAATCCCAATCCCTATTCCTGTAGAAGTAATTGTGGTAAGTAGAATATGTAGTTACAAAATTCAGTAAGGAATTGTTAAAACAAGTGGAGTTGTTTTGAAGAAAATCTTCTTTTTGTTTTATTTCAGACAATAATTGCTACTGCCATTTCGTATGGAGTCAACTTGGAAAAAAATTACAATGCTGGCATTGTTAAATCCATCCCAAGGGGGTGAGTATGGTGTTCCTCTTAGACAATACTGATATATTAAATCAGTACTTCCTATTTAAATGAAACCTTTTCTTACAAGCTTCATTTCCCTGATGCTCCTTCGATCGTCCTATTTGTGTGTGATCTTGAAGAAATACCCATTGTGCAAGCTATCAAACAGTATATGTGTACATAAAGTTCAAGTCATTTTTTAAAAATCAGCCCCTATGTGCTCTCTCTTTTTTCTTCATTTTCTTAAAATGGGTCGAACATATATAGTTAACACATGACTCCTAATTTAAACTCATAATTACAATATCATATAAATAGATGTGAACGATCTGCTTAAGGAATCAAGGACATCTAGTCTAAATTCTCTGCTTAGTTTATTCATCTTAGATAATAATTATAGCATTTGTACCTATAAATAAAATGGACAGCATCTTCAAAGGGAGTTTTATAAATGTTTGGTAGTTTGGTGAATTAGAAGACCAAAAACCAAGGTCCTTCATTCATCTCTGTCACCATCTAGTTTTGTGGTCCCAGGGAGGTTCTCCTGTAAGACAAGGGTAATGACAACAGCTAAAACCTCAACTCAAGCCTGTTGTGAAACGCCAGTGAGATAGCTCATAAATGCAGAGTGGACGAAGTGCCCTACAGTGTAATGTTATCACATGGAATTTAAAAGGAATCCCAGATGTTTATTATACTTGTAACATTAACTCACAGCATTTATGACTAGACCTGCTGTGTGTCAGTAAGTACTGGTTTCCCCTCCCTTAACACTTGCGAGGGGCCTCCTACCGGTCTTTGTTCCACAATAGCCGCCCTCCCCTCGGGCAGTGTGCTCCCAGCGCCTGTTCCGCAGGGGACACCGCCTTCCCATTCCATTCATCTTACAGTTTCTCCTAGTATCTGTTCAAAAAATATGTGAAAAATGACAACTGGCCACATGGGACTTAATTTACATATTATCCATTATAACGTTTCTCAAACTCACCTTTTTGAAAGAATCATATGAGACCCTTTTCTTTGGTATAAATATCTATATTTTAATTATTTTTTATATGTTGATGTATATATTTACCAAATGTTTTGTCTTTTAAGTTTTGATTTTTCCATCTTGAGTTGAAAAGTAACCTTTATTGTATAGACAATTAATCAAAATATTATACCTAGCTCATGCATTAA